TGAGATATATCCCAGCCCTTTTATTTTGAGACATAGTCTTGCTAAATTGCTAAGGCTGGCTTTGAAGCCTCAGCTTCTTGAGTAACTGTGATTATGGGTGTACACCACCATGCATGGTTCCTTAGTTGGTTTTTTTTGTTGTTTGTTTGTTTGTTTGTTTGGTACCAGGGTTTGAACCCAGGGATGCTTAATCACTGAGCACTTTTTGTTTTTTATTTTGCAACACTAAGTTGCTTAGGGTCTTGCTAAGTTGCTGAGGCTGGGTTTGAACTTACAATCCTCCTGCCTCAGACTCCCAAGTTGTCAGGATTACAGGCATGCAATCACTGCACATGGCTTTCATTAGTTGAAGTAATTCTGAGTGGTTGATCTTCTTTTCATTGTACACATGAGCAACATGCAGTTGGATGCATTTGATGCTACACAGGGAAGATTCCAGACTAAGAGCCATTTCACAATTCTGGATTCTATATTAGAAGAGGACGAGGTTCTGCCAGATGATACTAAGGAAGCTCTCTGAACCCCAAATCCACTTACAGTGGGAATTGGGGACTTTAGTGTTCCTTCTTTCTCTTTCCATTCTTCTTTAGAATTCCAAATTCCTACAGCCTGCTCCCCCTTGGGAGCCATTTCCACTCAGCCTCTCCAGCTCCATGGCTGAGCTCACTCAGGAAATACCGGTGCTGGCCGCTAGCCTGGAGCTCTGCAGACTCTGCTGCATCTCTGGGATCCACCTATCCCCCTCCCTGTGCTCGGCCACAGTGAGCTCCGTGCATGCTCTTGTGGGGACATAGCAAACATATTTCCTCCCATTAAAAATATTGAACTAGGGCTGGGGATGTGGCTCAAGCGGTAGTGCGCTCGCCTGGCATGCGTGCGGCCTGGGTTCAATCTTCAGCACCACATACAAAACAAAGATGTTGTGTCTGTCGATAACTAAAAAATAAATAATAAAATTCTCTCTCTCTCTCTCTCTCTTTCTCTCTCTCTCTCTCTCTCTCCCCATTCTCTCTTTAAAAAAAATAAAATATAAAAAAATAATAAATAAATAAAAATATTGAACTAAGCTGGGGATATAGCTCAGTTGGTAGAGTGCTTGTTTTGCATGCACAAGGCCCTGGGTTCTAATCACCAGCACCATAAAAAAAATTGAGTTAAGAATCATTTGGCATAAAATCAGTACTTTTATTGGCGACGCAGTACAAGACATGCACAGAGCTTCTCGGTTTTTGCTTTCACTGATCCTAAGTCTTTTTTTTTTTTTTTTTTAAGGGATTTAAGCCAGGGGCATTTCACCACTGAGCCACACCCCCAGCTTTTTTGTGTGTTTTATTTTGAGACAGGGTCTCGCTAAATTGCTTAGGACCTCCCTAAATTGCGGAGGCTGGCTTTGAACTTACGATCCTCCTGCCTCAGCCTCCCGAGTTGCTGGCATTACTGATGTTTGCCACCACTCCCAGCAGTTTCTGAGGGTCATCTGTACCCACAAAAGAGGCACTGGAAGGCGATCCTAAGGAATTCCTGGATCATTTCCGTGGAGGGAACTCCACTCAGGACAAGTGGGGTCTTGGACTTTCATGAGAGAAAAGAATTTCAGCAGCATCAGTAGAGGCACAGGACTTTATTTAGGAAAGCAAGGAGTACACTGGAGGGCCATCTCAGAGTGGGAGATGTGTTTGGGATTCCCTGGCTCCGCTTTTTCTTTGGGGGTATACCCAGGACTGGACTCAGGGAACTGAGCTCCACCAGCCACTGGGCCACCTGGGCCTTGATCCCGCGCAGCCTGAAGAGCTCCTGGTGCCCGAGCCGGGCAGCCCACAGCGCCGCCTGCTGCACCCTCTGAGGGCGGGGTAAGGTCTCAGGCTCACCACGTGCCCCCCCAGGCCCTCCAAGCCCACCGCCCAGCCTCTCCTGTCGCCTCCATGCCCTCAGTGTCCCTCAAGTCCCTTCCTGTGGCTCCTGTGGTGACAGAGGTCACAGAATGACAGGAGCAGACCCCTGGGGCCTCTCTCAGCAGTGGAGGTGGAGTCTGGAATTTGGTGGCAACAGAAAAGAAGATTTTTCAGGGCCACACAGCATCTCTCCCTTTTTCTGGTGGCACCCAGGAGGGAGGAACAGTGTCATCCTGCCCCACAGGACACCCAATTGGGAATCGAGTGGGTAAATCTGCATAAATATGGGGCAGACGCTTCAGTGGTTCTACTATATTTTCTTTGAGCTCCGGTTGGTGCTATGTACTGAATATGGATTGATGCCCCAAACTCAGACAGGAGTCTCATCCTGGAAGTTACACTCGGGGTATTAAGAGGGACAAGGGCAGATGGCCGTGTACAAAGGCATGACCTTGGGAAGTGATCTGTTTAGGTCACTAGAGTCATGGGTAGTGATGGATCCCTGTGGCTTTTCAATCCCCCCTTCTTCGTTTTTATGGCACTGGGGATTGAACCCCGGGTCACTCTAGCACTGAGCTTCACCCCAGTCCTTTTTATTGAGACAGGGTCTGGCTAAGTTGCTGAAGCTGGCCTCTAACTGGAGATCCTCCTGCCTCGTCCTCCCAGGTAGCTGGGATTACAGACATGCACCACAGTGCCCAGCCTCTTATGGCTTTGTAAGGAGGGGAAGAGAGAGCACACAGAGATCCAGTAGCACTCTCCTCAGGATGAGAGGCAGCCCAGGGGCCCCTCACCAGTGCCTGTGCCATGCTCTTGGGTTATGGTACTTCTGGAACTGGGAGCCCACATAAACCCTTTTCATTTTAAAGTAGTCTGCCTTGGGGATTTTGATACAGTCATGAAAAGCTGCCTAATACAACTGGATAAGCAAGAAAGAGGCCTGTGCAGGAGTTCAAGGAAGAGGGGGCAAGGGTGGGGTTGCAGGTGATGGCGTCATCACCCACCACCACGGATTCCATTTTGTAAGATTCCTGGGGGCCTCTGAAGCACAATCCAGGCTTTTCTAGACACCAATGGCAGGATCCAATACTCCACTAGTGAGGGGGGCTCCCTGCTCAGCCCTGAGGTCCATCATGTGGCTTCACTGCCCCCTTCTTCTCAGGGGAGGCTGGGCGAGGCAGAAAGGAGGCCTGAAGCCTTCAGCTGGGGGTCGCGCTGCTCAGACAGCAATTCATGCTGAGGACGGGGGATGGAGGTGTAAGGAGAAGGTCAAGTGTGCAGTGTGTGGCAGGTGACTGCAGTGTGGCAGGCAGGTGAAGCCCAGCGGGGAGGCCACCAGGATCCAGGTGAGGAGCAGCAGGGTGGCTGTGGAAGGGATGGCTAGTGGATACTGTTATTTAACAAGGGCGACGAGACACCTGCCACGGGACAAGAGCCGTCCCAATACCTGGGGACCAACCATGAGCTCTGGAGGTGCTGGCGCTGTAGTGTGAGGCTCAGGGATAAGGAACTAAATAGGCGCCTGTTGGTGACAAGGACCAAGGAAGGGAGCAAATAGACAGAAGAGTGGAGCTGGGGGTGGATGTTGCCTTAATAGGAAGGAAGGATCCCTGACTGGTGACACCACAGGGCTCCATCGAGGTTCTGGGACTTGGTTATGAGTTAGATAAGGGAAGGTGGCCAGGAGCATGAGGCATGGGTGGCCAAGAGACGACACTGTGTGGTCAGGGTGGAGCTGGGCTTCAGAGGAGGCTGGTTCTGCTGCTTGATCAGGAAGAATCGGAGGCGGCGAGTTCAGGGTGTGGGGAAGATGTGCTCAGGGGTGGACACAGGGGCTTTGGTGCTTGTGGAGTTCCTGGTGGACACACAGCCTTACGTGTCTGTGGTGCCCCCTGGTGGACACACAGCCTTAGGTGCCTGTGGCGCCACCTCGTGGACACACTGGCTTCTATGCCTGTGACGCCCCCTAGTGGACACACAGGCTTAGGTGCCTGTGGAGTTCCTGGTGGACATACGGGCTTAACTGCCTTTGGCGCCCCCTGGTGGACACACGGCCGGAGGTGCCTGTGGCACCCCCAATGAACATACAGGTTTAGGTGCCTGTGGCGCCCCCTGGTGGACACACAGGTTTAGGTGCCTGTGGCGCCCCCTGGTGGACACACAGCCTTAGGTGCCTGTGGCTCCCCCTAGTGGACACACAGGCTTAGGTGCCTGTGGTGCCTCCTGTTGGACACACAGCCTTAGATGCCTGTGGCGCTCCCTGGTGGCCACATGGGCTTCGGTGCCTGTGGTGCTCCCTAGGGAACTGTCTTTGGGCTGCGGAAGCTTGCAAGGCCCTCACAGTGGAATGTAGGCTTTTCCCACAGCGTGGAGAGAAACTGCAAAACTGAAAGCACCAAACCTCTGCTCCCAGAGAGCACAGGGCTCCCAAAGCCACTCAGACTTTTTTTTCTTGATACCAGGGATTGAACCTGGGGTGCCTAATCACTGGGCCACACCCCCAGCCCCGTTTTAATATTTTAAAATTCTGAGACAGTTCTCACCAAGTTAGCCTCATCGAGTTGCTTAGGGCCTGAGTTGGTGAGGCTGGCCTTGAACTTGCAATCCTCCTGCCTCAGCCTCCTGAGCCACTGCCATCCCAGGTGTGTGCTACTTCTCCCGGATTACTCAGAAAATTGTGAAGCCGAAAGGAAAAGAGGAGAAAGGGAGCTTTGAAAAGAAACGACTTTTCCAAGAATGGTGGAAGGTCAGGATTTCATTTTTCAGGAAGACAAGGACAAGCTGACTTTCAGAAAGTCCCAAATCAGGGAGAACTGAGACAAGAGCGTGAGCAGAGGGTCAGTGCCGGGAACTCAGCGAGGAGGACAGCCAGGAGGTTCCCCACGGGCAGCGGGAGGGCTGGGCTGTGCTGGTGGGCGGCAGAGCAGGAACCTGGGCAGGTCTGGTTTCGGGGGTGATGGACGGTGCATCCATAGGAGGCGAGATACAGGGCCGCCGATTGGGGCCAAGGGAGGTCTGAATGGGGACCCTGTGCACCCCAGCTTCTGTGCGTGGAGGACACTCCCCATTTCCTTGGATGAACTGTTCAAAGAACTGTTCCAGTGAGTCTGGATTCTTAGCAAAGTTTGTCCTGCTCCAGAAAAAACAGCCAGACACAAGAGCATCTCTGGGATTTCTGATGATATGAATCACCTTAAATGGAAACAGAAGAGAAAGAACAGTTAATACCGTCATTTCCACCTTTTTTGATCTTTACCTTTATTTATTTATTTGGGTACCAGGGATTGAACTCAGGGATGCCTAACCACGGAGCCACATCCCCAGAACCCCCCTGTTTGGTTTTTATTTAGAGACTGAGTTGCTTAGTGTCTCACTAAGTTGCTGAGGCGGGCTTTGAACTGGCGATCCTCCTACCTCAGCTTCCTGAGCCGCTGGGGTTACAGGTGTGCGCTAACATGCCTAGATTTTACCTTTAATCTTTTTTTAATTTTTTTTAATTTTTTTTATTTTTTAAAGAGAGAGAGAGAGAGAGAGAGAATGTTAATATTTATTTTTTAGTTCTCGGCGGACACAACATCTTTGTTGGTATGTGGTGCTGAGGATCGAACCCGGGGCTGTGCACATACCAGGCAAGCGCGCTGCCGCTTGAGCCACATCCCCAGCCCTTACCTTTAATCTTGAGCTTTAAGTTGCATTAAATGTCTCCTAAATATGAATGAAACATTTTCGTATGTGTCTGGAAATTGAACACAGCAGTGTGCTGAGTGAGGCTACCTGCCATTTTATTTTTATTTTGAGACAGGGTCTCCCTAGATTGCAGAGGCCGCCTTAAACCTGCAGTCTTCCTGCCTCCGTCCTGGGTTGCTGGGCTCACCAGTGTGTGCTCCCGTGCCTGGCTGGTGGGATGGTCTCAGTGACCACAGTCATTAAAGGGACATGCAGGCTAAGGTTCCTAGGAAATATCACGGTGGCAAGATGGACAAAGGCAAGAGGAACCCCTGGTACGTTCCTTCTCACCATGAGAAGTCTGTGTGCTTTAAGGATCACCAACGGGGTGATGGATAAGTCATGGCATATATGTAGACACATACAATATACAGTCGTTCCCCACCCACGACACACATTCCACTGGGCGAATGAATCCAGATACCTAGCTGCTCACAGCCTGAGTCCATGTGCGGGAATAAAGAACAACCAGAACTAGTCCATACCTGGGCGCGGTGTGCATCCCGAAGTCCCTGTGGCTTGGGGGCTTTAGGTAGGAAAATCACAAGTTTGAAACCAGTCCCACCAATGTAGCGTGGCCCGAAGCAACTTAGCAAGACCCTGTCTCCAAATAAAAAATAAAAAGGGCTGTGGATGTGGCTCAGTGGTTAAGTGCCCTTGGGTTCAATCTCTTGCAGAAAAACACAGCAAAACAAAACTAATTTACAGCTGTAACTAAGCATGGTATTTGCCTTTGTGGGGGGGGGCACTGACTGAGTGGGCACGAGGGAACTTTCTGGCATGGTAGAACTTTCTGGAACAATGCTCATCTGGAAGATGGTTACTTGCTGCAAGAGTAGACTTTCTGGAAAGTAGAAGTGTTCTCATCCTATCAGGAAGATAGTGACCCAGTTGTGTACGTATCATCCAGACAATTATTTTTGTAGATGGACATGGTGCCTTTATTTTTATGTGGTGCTGAGGATGGAACCCAGAGCCTCACATGTTAGGCAAGTGCTCTACCACTGAGCCCCAGCCCCAGACCGGAGATAGTGATTGAGATATTCACACACACACACACACACACATACACACACACACACACCCCACACACTCGGGCAGGATCACTTGGAGTTTGAATATCAGAATTTTGCTTTCCGTTTTGCACCAACTCTCCTGTCATTATTCAAGGCCTTGATTTATTTGCCAGACTCACATAGACACCTGCAGATAGTTGCAAGGGGACAAATTCATTGTTGCTGCACCCACATGACATTTCCAAGAGAGGAGATGACAATGAGGATGATTTTCATGCTGGGGATTTCCCTCAAGAACACCGAGCCACATCCCCTTCCTTTTAATTTTTTTATTTTGAGATGAGTTCTCACTGAGTTTCTTAGGGCCTTGCTAGATCACTGATAGTGGCCTTGAATTTGTGATCCTCCTGCCTCGGCCTCCCAAGCCGCTGAGATTACAGCTGAGAGTCACTGTGCCCAGCCAACAGAGGAGATTCTGAGCTGTGTTTCCAGATGTAGTTTAAGATAGAAATTTTTTAAAAAATCATACAGAAATGAATACCTTCCAGCAAACTGTTTCCAAAAACAGCACGCAGTGGGTGGGACCCTGGCTCTCCCTGGTCTTTCTGATCAGCTCTAAGCCCCAGGGAGGCTCATGTGGCTGGTGGACTCGGGCCCCTGCTCTGTGCACCAGGTGGCCATCCTTAGGGAGAGTGGCCAGGCCTCCAGAGCCACCTGGGCTCCCGCAGCTGATATGACCCAGCTGACTTCACTATCAGGCAGGGGACTTACTATTCCTCTTTTAGGGCAGCAAACGCGGGGCAATCTAGAATACGATGCAGCTGTAAATGTAAGGTTGTACTTAAAATGTCATTTTCGAAGATTCTGTTTTTGTCCTTTTACATCAAGCATTTTTTTTTTTTTGTACCAGGGATTGAACCCAGAGGGACTTAACCCTGAGCCACATCCCCAGCCCTTTTTTTACATTAGATTTAGACACAGGGTCTGGCTGAGTTGCTTAGGCCCTCACTAAATTGCTGAAGCTGGCTTTGAACTCTTGATCCTCCTGCCTCAGCCTCCTGAGCTCTGGGGTCACAGACGTGAGCCACTGCACCTGGCTCCACCTTAACTCAGGCTCCAATAACCTGTGGGCCGTCCAGTCCTTGTCCTCAAGCATGGTTCTAGGTGTGGCAACATGGGGCTCACCGGATGCCCGCCGGTCCCAGTCCCTCTCTTCCTCCCAATGAGAAGGCACCCCCAGCAGGATCTCTGGGGCTCTGGGGGCAGGTTAAAGTCTAAGAGGCATTTGTTAAGCATTTCTACAGCATCAGGCACTGACCTTGCCCTTGGAAGTGAAGAAGGACTTGGGGAAGAGGTGGAAAGGAAGGTGGGAGGCGAAGCAGCGCGGGCCCTCCGCGTCTCCGTCTAACTGCTCAGCGTCCCCTCTCTCTATCCAGGGCGAGCGCTTCCAGAAGGGCACTGATTGAACCCACTTGGGGTCCCCGCGTGAGTGAATCAAGCAGAGAACTTCAATCAACCATAGGGTTCCTGGATAAAGAGGGAAAAGTGACGTTCACTCCTTTCAGTGTGACCTTTGAAGTAAAAATTATGGTAAAATAGATGAGCTTTCTGTGATAACCATTTAACATTTTCTATTGATTTACTTACTTTTTGCAGTATTAGGAATTTCACCCAGAGACCCTATACCGCGGAGCCCCATGCCCAGCCCTCTTTATTTTTTTACTTTGAGACAGGTTCTCGTTGGGTTTGGTGGTGCATGCCTGTAATCCCAGCAGCTCAGGAGGCTGAGGCAGAAGGATGGCAAGTTTAAGGCCAGCCTTAGCAAATCAGAGAATCCCTCAGCAACTTAGCAAGATCCTATCTCAAAATATCCTGGGGATGTAGCTCAGTGGTAAAGTTCCCCTGGATTCAATCCCCAGTATCTAAAAACAA